TATATGTATATTATAGAAACTCAATCGTATCGATACTTTGATACAATAATAGCAATGCCCAAAAATCCCCTACGAAAATCAACTTCACATCTGGAAGCGATAAAATATTTATCAAAAAAACAAAAAGAATAATTTCGCTTGATTTTTTGTGTAGTTTTTTATGAGCTCAACCACAAAGCAAATGCTATAGAGATAATGTTATTGTTGTTGTTGYTGCTGCTCAAGCATTAGGAAACAAGTTAAACGAGAATTGCGAGCTCGGCAGAATCACAAAAGCCAGGTTAGTCTGGCCCCCCCAAAACCTGTACGAAATTCAATTTCTTCTCAAGATAACAAACAAAAAATGGTGAATATACACACATACACACACACACACACACACGTCTGTATGTAGTTTAATAATCAACATAAGCTTGCTGCCGACGCTGACGTCCGGCGCAACGCCTCAGTCGGCAGCTAATCAATAAAACGCGTTAATTATTGTTTGGTTTAAAGCCTGATTACAACAGCAGCGAGAGGCTTAGAACGCCAGCGAACGCTTAACGCAAAACACACGCGCAACAGCAACAGCAGCAGCAGCAGCAGCAGCAGTAGCAAAAAACAAAAACAAAAAAAAAGAACATCAGAAATAAAAGAACACGTCGAAAAGACGACAATAACCGCGCACGATAAAAGTCGCCAGCGGCCAAAAACGCGCTCATTGCGTGCGCTGTTTTCGCAACGGTAAATTAGGTAGCACACAGCTGCTGAGAGTCGGGCATCGGGCGGATATCAGATACGCAGATACTACAGCCGAGATATACGTAGAGAGCCACAGATAGGATGAGGATGCGGCACGCATTTGCTGGATTAATTGTGTGTTGGCTGGCAGTTTGTCAACCGCAAGGTAAATATTTTTGTGCCTCGGCGCAGCAGCACTAACAACAGTAGCAACAGCAACAACAACAACAACAACAGCAGCAGCAGCAACAGCAGCAACAGCAACAGCCATAGCAATAACAATAATAGCGAAACGAACAGCGGGCAGACAGGATAATGACACCAATACACCTACACACACACACACACACACACAGAGACACGCCGCGTACTTTTAGGCTTTGATATTACAGCAATAATTGCGAAATTATCGCCGGATTTTGCGGCAACGTGCACGGCATATTGACGGGCACGGCAAAAGCGCAGCGCAGAGAATACGCGAACAGGGATAATGGGGCATCCACACAGTACAACTGACGCGCTCTCGCTCACTCGCCCACTCACCCCCTCTCCCTCAGCCTCACTCTCTCCCAGCCAAGTGAAGCTGCAAACATTTGCTTACGCTCGCCGATTAAACGCGTTTCCAAATTATGTGTCAACAACAACGGGCAGTTAAAATATCGAATAACATTATATAACACTTTATATAATCGATTCTTTTTTTTTTCAATATATATTTTTTGTATAATTACTTTTTTTTTGTTCAGTGCAACAAGTGCGAAAGCTAAAGTGCTCCAATTGAAACAGTGATGCAATAATATTTTATTTATTTTATTTGCTGTTTTTTTTTTTTTAATTGATTTTTATATGTGAAAGTGCATAAAATTTGTTTTCTTTTTTTTTCTGTTAAAAAATTGGAGGAAAATGCGTTATTATTTTTGTGTAAAACTATGCTGGAGCAGTTGACCTTGACTTGTGATACAAATTATGAAAATTGACATTGGGAAGAATAATTATATATTATACATACAGTAGCATCCGGTTATAACGACACTCAGAGGATCGTCGCTATACCCGGAAGACGCTATAACCATATAAGTTTACTCATATATGTCTATCTCGAGACCAGAGTCGTTATAGCCGCATTCTACTGTATACGCATCTCTATTTATATAGTGTATTATAATTAGATCTGAGCCAAATCAGTTGTGAATAGAGATAATTTGTTTTACAAATCAAAATAACAGCAGATGCAATTCTTTCTTTACCCAGAACCCACTGAAAATGGGGAATCAGGGTAAAATAATAATAATAAGGCAGAAGGGGGCATGGCAGAGGTGACGAACATAGTCGATGTGGTCCTGCCTTTCCATCTGTCTGTCTTTCCGTCCTTCCATCCGCTTATCTGTCTATCCGTCTAGGTGAACGCGTCGATCTCAGAAGCTAGAAATTTGAGAGAAAGATTTATTTTTTGTGAGTCCATATCGAGCGAGTTAGTTTACAAAAATAGATAACAATTCCCGTTATTTGTGTAATCGATTAAGAATCTCATCGAAAATATTTCCTACATTTAGAGAGCTGATTTCAGAATTTTAAACATAGATTCGTGTTTATTTTATTATTATTATTTATTATAATCCAACCCCCACCACCAAGTCCAGCCCTTTCCCCCAAGTT